CCCCAAAACCCCAAAACCCCAAAACCCCAAAACCCCTTTTAGTAAATCTTAAGTTGAATTTAAATTTTTAATGTCAGCAACCGAACAAGATCAAGATGATTCTAAAGAAGTAATTGAACCCAAACAAGAGGTCCAAGATGATAATATCTCTGAAAAGATATTACTCAAGCCAAATAAAGATTCCCCTGATGTTGAAGAAAAGAAGGTAAATTAGAATTATAATTCAAATTTTTTAAATCATCAAAATTTAGAATATTATGGAAAAAGCTGATGAAGCTGAAGAAGGGCCCAAAGCCATACAGAAGACCAAAGAAAATGAGGAGTCTGCGAAGGAAATTGAAAACCCTTCACCTAAGCATGTACCTCTTGAAGAATCTCAAAATTTACCAAAAGAGTCTACTGAAGTTTTAAAAGAACCCTCTCCAATTTCTCATTCCCCAAAAATTTCTCAGGACTTAGATTCCATACCCCAGGCTCAAAATCAAATTCCAAATGCACAGAACACCTCTAAAAGTTCTGAATCAGCCTCTAAAACTCATAAATCTCCAAAATCTGTTTTACACCCTCTATCCCCTTCAAACCCTTCCAAATCTCCTCAAAACTTAAATAAAATTCAAAATTCTCCCCCTAATTCCTCAGAAGGAGCCAAAGAAGAGGACGACTTCTACCAATTAGAAGACCCACACACCTCACCCCCTCCACACCCCAAAACCCACCCTCAAGACCCTCACTCCCCCACTCACTCCACTCAAAACCCCAGCCCTAAACCTCATCCCAAAGACTCTACCACTCACCCTCAAAATCCTGAAAATTCCCAGTCAAGCCCACTTAAAACCCATCCTAAAGAGTCTATCCCTGACTCTGAGGCACAAAATGAGAAGAGTAATGGGCCTTCGCAGGAAGAGAAAATTGATAAAGAAGAAGAAATAGGGAATGAAGGTGAAGAACCAAATTGTGAAGAGCTTATTGGGGAAGAAGAGGGGGAACCAGTTGTGGAGAAGCCGCCAGTTGGGGAGAAGCCGCCAGTTGTGGAGAAGACGCCAGTTGTGGAGAAGAAGCCAGATGAGGGAGAAGGAACAGATGAGAGAAAGAAGCAGCAGGATGTGGAGAATTTTAGTGGAAAAGGAAGTAGAGAGGAAGATGAAGAGATTGGGAGCCGAAAAGTTGATGAAAATGAAGAAGTTCTGGAAAAAGATGAGGGGAAAGAGAATATAGAATCTGGTGAGAATTCGAAGTCGGCTTTGGAGGGAGTTGGGAAAGATGAAGAGATAGAAGGGCAGAAGGAAGAACCTTTGAAAAGTATAGAACGTGAGGACTCAAATCAGGACCCTCAAAATCCTCCTGAGACTAGCCATCCTCCTTCAACACCACAGGATTCTGTCACAGCCTCAAATGCTGATCTCCACAAAGACTTGTCTCAAGTTTCTCCTCTCAAGCCTCATCAAAGTGACTTAGAGATTCCTTCAAACCCTATTATTCTTCATAAGCAACCTTCAGAGGAAGAGGTACCTCCAAAAGAGATTTTAGAAGAACAGGTTGAAGAAGAACAAAAAGATGCTCCTCAAAGACCTAGTTCTAACTACCATAGCCATTCTTATATTGGCACAAGGATAATGAATGGCCAGAGACCATCTAGAATCCTTAGAAGCAGTAGGAACTCCAGAGACGCTAAGCTGAGTCACCTAGACTTCTCAATCCAGCCTCCTGATCAGGAAGAAGGACAAAAGCGGGAAGAGTCTCAGCTCCCTACAGGAGCTGAGAAAACCGAAGTTGATATCGTCCAGACTAAACGTCAGCAGTTATTACAAGATCGCAAGAAGAGGTCTCGTAAAAGCCATAGAGTGATTCCAAAAGTGCAGGATAAACCTGATACTGTGAGTCAAAAAATCGTTCAGGAGGAGCTGGCTCTCCTGAAATCTAAAAATAAAATTCCTAGTCGCAAGAATAACCAGAGAAATATTAGCTCTCGAGATCAAAAATCGCAGCATTCAACTTACAACTTGCAAGCAATGGATAAGCAAGGAAGGAAAGAATTAGGAGAAATTAAAGAAAATCAGAAAGACTTCTTAAAAAATAGAGAGATAAGGAAGGAAAATGAGCAACTGCAGAAACGAAAAGCGACTGAATTTATCAGAAAATTACGTAAATCTCGTCCTAAGCCAAAACCAAAGAAGATTGATGAAGAATACATGCACAAGATTGAAGCCCAGATGGAAGAGCGGAGGATCAGAGAGGTGAGCCTAAGCTTCTAATATATAGGAAGAGGAAAAAGAAGCCAAGCGCCAACAGATCAAAGCCAGGATTTCAAAATTGAAAAAGGATAGGTTAAAGTCAAAACAAGAGATGCAGAAGAACACCAAGAAGCAGAACCACATCTTAGGTGAAGACAAGAAGAAAAGGCTCTACCAACAAATGGAAGAAAGGTATGTCAAGGAATACCAGATCCCAGAACTTGAGAGGAGAAAGAACGAGCTTGGTAAGCAGCTATAAGTTAATATTTAGCCAAAAGAAGAAATTTCTTGATGGGTCAAAGAAACGAAGTTGAGGAATATGTAGATAAGTATGTTAAGAAATTATTTTAAGAGACTACCAAGGTCTTGTATCTTAGACAACTTTGAACCCTAACTTTGCTTAGAAGCGATAACAACAAGAGGTTCCACAGTTACAATAGAATTAGCTTCGACTCTAAGCAAGAAAAAGGAATTTCAGATCAAAAATATAAAAGAAAACCAATGAGCAAGAAGTATACATTTAAAGAAAAAGCAGAGTCTTTAGTAGCTGATCGATCAAGGGAGGACTCGATAGGCCAGATAAAGGGGAATCAGGTGAACCAGTATTACCATAATGCTAAAGCTTTGGAAAATGTGCTCAAAGAAGAAAAGAGTAACCTTCAAAAACTTGAGAGAGACAAAAAGAAACTCATAGAGCGAAAACAGAAAGTAGCAAGTTATTCTAAACTTGTCCGCGAGATTCATTGGGATCATAGTGATAGAAATAAGAGAGATGTCAAATACAACCCTCTTAAAAAGAGATCTGTTATAGGAGAAACCGATTCCAATAAAACCTTTGAGAATCATAACAGATCAAGAATGGCTGCTGTAGAGAAGGTTAAAGAGATAAGAAGGAAACAAGTTAAGAAAGAAACAGATATCGAAAATAGAAGGCAGCCAGAGGCTAATAACTTCATTGTTGATTCTAATTCTTCTAATGATATCCCAGGTACGTTTAATGATTGATTTTTTTAGCCCTAAATCATTCATACTTACCACCTAACTCTGTTGGTATTAAAAGAGAAAATCCTAAATCTCTTATAGTAAATAAGAACCTTGGTCGAGGTAATAATATTGAACCTAAAGAAGTAGAATCAGTTACAGCGAACAGAGAAAGTCCTGCTCTACAAGTAAGACCCTTCGTTTTGGCAGGTAAAGAAATGCCATCAGAACCCAGAGATGTATCTCCTAACCTAAGCGCTTTAAACGTTAGTGGTCTACTAGATGACTCTCAGCTCCCCTTCCCCGAAGGGGTCGGCCCATCACTAAGAGACTACCCCCACCACCATGCCCCACCCCACAACATCCAAGGTCCCCCCCTCGAAGTAGACGACGCTATGATCGAAGACATCCAAAAACGCCTCGAACTACTCGACGAGTTCAAATAATCTCAATTTCAACTACAAAAATCCACTTTGGGGTTTTGGGGTTTTGGGGTTTTGGGGTTTTGGGGTTTTGGGGTTTTGGGG